AAGATGCCAAGGCTCTTTATAAAAAACGCATCCGATACTGGAGCAATGGGTCTTGGAGGAAATTTTGTTCTGAAATAGACTCATGCACCAAGGCAAATAAGGTAAGGAAACTGCTTTCCAAAGACAGACAACAAGACCTTTCACAGCTCAGGAAAGCTGATGGCTCCCTCACAGAGACAGTGGAGGAGGCACAGAGGGTACTGCTCGAAACCCACTTTCCAGGCTGCATCATAGACACGACACACACCTGGAATGACACTTGCTGGACCCCCACGGAACAATCCTGGAACACTGCAATGAGGACAGTGTCCATGGACAAGTTAAGGTGGGCCGTTAACAGCTTCCAGCCATTTAAAGCAGCCGGACCAGATAGCATCTTTCCGGCGCTGCTTCAATGGGCAGGTGAAGCGCTAATCCTTATCCTGGTGCCCCTCCTGAGAGCGTGTCTTGCATTCAGATACACGCCGAAGCCTTGGAGGGAGGTCAAGGTAATCTTCATACCAAAGCCAGGTAAGGCCGACTACAACGAAGCGAAATCTTTCAGGCCAATAAGTCTCTCATCATTTCTGCTAAAAACCTTAGAAAGACTGTGTGACAGAGAGCTGAGAGATAACCAATTAACCAGCTTTCCACTACATCTAAACCAACACGCCTATTGTCCAGGCAAGTCGACAGAATCTGCACTACATGCAGACGTAAGTAAAATAGAGGATAGTCTCAGACGAAAAGAGCTATGTCTGGGCACCTTTATAGACATAGAAGGCGCGTTTGACAAAACAAGCTTCGCCAGTATTGTAAACGCACTTGGCAAACACGGAGTCGATGAGAACATTATATACTGGGTAAGTAACATGCTCCGTAACAGACTAATCAGACTACAAGACGACAACCATCTCAGAGCATTGGCGACTAAAGGATGTCCTCAAGGAGGAGTACTATCGCCTCTGCTATGGAATGTAGTCGTAAACGACTTAATTACCAAACTAAACAACCTTCACTTCCACACGGTGGGCTATGCGGATGACCTGGCAATCCTAATCCCGGGTAAGTTTGCGAGCACCGCTTGTGACATTACACGGGGGGCAATGAAGGTAGTTGAAAAATGGTGTGACGACTACGGCCTTAAGGTGAATCCAATGAAGACAGAATTAGTCATGTTCACGAATAAAAGAGCCTTAGGCGACTATCGGCTACCGAAACTATTTAACACGACACTAAGGCTCTCCAACGAGGTAAAGTATCTAGGAATAACCCTAGATTCCAAACTGAACTGGGGTTCACACATAGACAAAACTACTACTAAGACCAACATCATTTTCTGGCAATGCCGTAAAATGATTAGCAAAACCTGGGGACTATCACCGTTCATTGTTAGGTTGTTAGGGCTGTACACGACCATAATTAGGCCCATCATCAGCTATGCAGCAGTAGTATGGTGGACAAAGACAAACCAGGTAACGACAATTAATAAGTTAAGACGTCTCCAGAGGCGGGCCTGCTGTGCAATCACTGGCTGCATGAAAACCACTCCCACATCAGCACTGGAGACTATACTTGACGTGAGACCACTACATTTGTTTATACAACAGGAAGCTGCTTGTACAGCCACACGACTAAGGATGCTGGGGTTATGGAGGGACAACAGCTCCCCACACACCAGCATTTTAGCAGACATATACAGGTACTTTCCGTACTTTGCTGCAGTAAACGACCTCATTCCAAAGACGTACGTATTCGACAAAAAATACAAAATTCAACTTTATGAAGACACTCCGGACCACTGTCTGCAAAAGGAGTTGAGGGTCTACACAGACGGCTCAAAAACCAACTACGGTACAGGTTCGGGTGTCTTCTCTGAAGACCTAAATATACACATCTCAACAGCATTGGGAGCCTATAACACGGTCTTCCAGGCAGAGTGTGTGGGCATCATCAAGGCCGCTGAAGCGATAGATTGTCGCAAGGTAAGAGGAAAACACATTCGTATTCTCTCTGACAGCGCTTCTGTCCTACAGGCACTGGACAACAATATAATGACATCAGGCTTAATTTATGAATGCCACTGTAAGTTGACTAATATTGCTAACGACAATAGATTGACTTTGCAGTGGATTAAAGGACACAGCGGCTCAAGGGGTAACGATGCGGCGGACTGCTTAGCCAGGGAAGGTTCTAGCAGGACGGCCATTGGTCCGGAGCCTATTGTACCCATACCCTATCGACAGCTGCGAACATGGATAAGGGAGCGCTGTCAACGACAACATAACGAATACTGGACAGAACTCACAGACTGCAGGCAAGCTAGGGAAGCCGTTCCCAAGGTAAACCTGCAGCTAACACGTAAGTTAATCAGACTTCCTAGACAAGCCTTAAAACAAATCGTGGGTATACTCACGGGTCACGGCTATTTCAACAAACACCTTTGTAATATAGGTATTTCTGACAGCCCTCTGTGCAGAGCCTGCCTGGTGGACGAGGAGACGAGCGCCCATGTGCTGCTGGAGTGCACGGGCGTTGCAAGACAAAGGATTTCTCTAATGGGAAGCCCGAAGACTATAGTAGAGGCCTGCAGTAACGTTCGGGGACTGCTGAGCTTTCTGGAGGAGCTGGGATGGCAGGACTGATGCCAATCCCCACGCAAAATAGGCACCAGATGTCGAGTTGCGGAAACAGCCCGCCGTTCTACTAAGACTAAGACACTCCACGCGAGCGACACCAGGAAGAATAATTAACTTCTATTTCAGTAGTATATGGTAAGCCGTCGACACGGTAATATTATCTATACAGTATTGTGACTCCGCCCTGTCCTTGAAATAAATGCCTACGGCCGAGCGCTGCGTTAGCACGCGGTAGGGCCGCCCGCCTACAGTATTTTATGTAGTTTTGTTTTTAACGCGAGTGTAGGTAGATTACTCGTTTGTCTCTTTTTTCATCCTAACCACTTATTTATATATCATTCCAGATATTTTGCCCGATGGAAAAATCGAAATGCCTAAATATTAGAAACAAATTACGTACTAGTAGATAGGTATATAAAAATATTCTTTATAGGTAAGACACCTTTCCAATACTTCAGGTAATTAAAAAATTATATCTCTGGGTGTGTTATTGAAGAGTTCAAGCAACCAAAAACAGCAATTGTGCTGTTGTACGATATTGATCGTCGTTTGTTCTTTTCCATACTAAATCATGTAGGTATCTACTTAATTCAATCAAATATTTACAATACAAAACGCACGTTTAAGCACGGCTAACTGCATAAAAAACAATTCAGACCGTTCGGTCGTCGTTGCGGCGCGGCGGCGCAATTCGCGACTGGGTGCCCGCCGAGAGCGCCTCGAACTCGAGTGGCGTAGGTATGACTCGCTTTCTGACCGTTTGTATGAAGATAGAATACTGTATGATATTATTACCGTGCCGTCGACTTCGTCTCGGGCTTACATTCGTCCAGGGCCGAATTTAGAGGTCCCTCTGGACCTCGGGGCAACAGAGGAGCGGAGGCCCCCTCACCTCAAGACTAATATAATCAAATAATCATGTATGTTAGATGTACAAAGTACTGTAGGCGGTAAAGGTAAAAGAGCAAAGAAAAATATCAAAGGAAAAGATGTTTACTAGTTGGAATTTGAAAGATTTTTTTTCCGAAGTCTCTATTGTGGGGGCCCCCCGTTTGTGGAGGCCCTGGGGCTTTTGCCCCGGTTGCCCTCCCCTAAATCCGGCAGTGCTTTCGTCTACTCGTTTGTAATAACCAGCTTACCGCACAAATATCATAAATAGCTATTTATTACTCAGTTTATTACAAAAAACACGAATGGAAAGAGACAGATAGATATTTATCCTGTCCCCAACGATATTAACTACCCTAGATACACCAGCACGAACAAAATCGTGCCCGAAACCTGTCCAAAAGGTACATTGAACGATCCACGGCGCTCCGTGAAACGATCGCGTCAAAAGCAATTCGATTCAAATGCGGCAAATTAACAAACATTGATTTAATACCTGTCGATAAAACGACACTTTACATACAACAAATATTTAAATCTAATGAAAATATAACTAGAAAAAAATTCCACGCGGACCAGGCAGCAGACGGAACTCGAACCCGCACTCTTCGCAATCCGGGCGATTGCACTGACCAATTATGCTACCGCGGCCCTCACGGACCGCGTCGAAATTCTTCCAGCCATTCTTAAGCTGCATAAGCTGCTGCTCTTCGCATTATAGGTAACCCGTCTGCTGCCTGGTCCGCGTGGAATTTTTTCTAGTTATATTTTCTTTAGCAATAGTTTTTTCAAATTTATACCTTTTTCCAAAATGTCTCTCAGCTCACGTTCGCTCTTAACGTGCTGTACAAAGCACGGAAGAGCAGAGATAGTTAAATTTTGATCACCCATCATATAACCAACCATGGCGTAAGTTGCTTCTAACTTCTACGATTATACAAATATAGTATTCGCACCAAAACTCAATCCAACGAAACAGCTTCATCATCGGAGGCCATGTATTTTTTTCCCTATAATGCGAAGAGATGGCGCTGCCTTGCAGCTTAAGAATGGCTGGAAGAATTTCGACGCGGTCTTTGAGGGCCGCGGTAGCATAATTGGTCATAATAAAAATTAAAACAAGTATTATTTCGTACTAGCTTTGCCCTGCGGTGTTACCCACGGTTTATTAGGAATATTTTCCCGCAGTAAAGCGTAGCCTATTTGTTAATCCAGAGTGTCAGCTAACTCCATACCAAATTTAATTAAAATCGCTCCAGCCGTTTAGACGTGAAAAAGTAACAAACATAAACACTCACACACTCACAAACTTTCGCCTTTATAATATTAGTGTGATTTTTACGGAGCTCTACGACATGTTGACTCTTCAACGGTCCGCGCGTGACTGTGTACCAAGAAGTGCTTGAGTGGAGTTCAAGCACTAATTGATCGGGACACATTTTGAGCGGACCTGGTGTATCTAGGGTATTCAATTTCTTTGCCTGTGCCACTCACCTCTTCAGCGATGTTCTCAATCACCATTTTGTTCATCATGGGACAGAAGTACCTGCCCCTTGCCAGTAACATGAAAGCGTTGCGTAAGTCCTCACCAAAGGAATCGTACACCCTACAACAAATAAGACATTTTTTTGTTATAAGCGTGGCAATATGTCAGTTATGACGACCTCCGTGGCCGAGTGGTTTCATGATGTCGCCGACTCGAGAGGTCCCGGGTTCGAATCCCAGTGGGGGCAGATGTTTGTGTGATGAATACGAGCATTTGTACTCCAGACATGGATGTTTAATATGTATTTCTATATAAATATACTTATATATGTACATTATGTATTCTATGCGTTACCCTAGTATCCCATAACACAAGCCTTTTACAGTGCTTACTTTGGGGCTAGTCTAATTGGTGTGAAAAAATAAAATAAAAAAATGGCCCGACTGATGGTAAGCGGCCACCATAGAATATAGATGCTTCATCATCATCATCAGCCTATTAATGTCCCCACTGCTGGGGTACAGGTCTTCCCTATGGATGGATTAGGGAGATTGGACCATGACCCACCACGCGGGCCCAGTGCGGGTTGGCGGGTGCTAACAACTGCAGATGCAGCCGGGACCAACGCCTTAACGTGCCTTCCGAAGCACGGATGAGCTCGAGATAGTAAATTTTTGGTCACTCATCCAATGACCGACCACTGCGAACGCGCTAACCACTGGCGCCATCGAGCTTGCTTACGATACCAAAAATATTACACGCTATACCTAGTACAGGTACTTACCAGGGCGTTTTTCGACAACGACAACGGCTAACTAGAACCGAGGTCCGACTCTCAGAGACGCCCTCTAGTTGAGCCGACCCCCTCAGGTTCGAGTGGTCTAGAGGCTCCAGACGGAGAGGAGAATCCCCCGCCCCCGTGGAGAGATGTCATCCGCCTGGAATACCTTTAGAGGCACTCGCCAATTCTCGGCTTGAGGTCCCCTTAGGATCTCGCCGTCCCCAAACCCGGTGACGCTGTAAAGGTCATCTACGACCAACAGCATACACACTCAAAAAAAAAACAATATATCGCTCGAGCCGTCGCCTCATCATCAACAGCCTATCCTAGTCCACTGCTGGACAAAGGCCTCTCCAATTGCACGCCACTCAGATCGCTCTTCGGCTACTCGCATCCAGCTCCTGCAAGCCACCTTGCGCAAATCGTCACTCCATCGTGCCTGAGAACGTCCTACACTACGTTTGCCTAGACGTGGTCTCCACTCCAGAACTCCAGAACTCGAGCCGTCGCCTATCCTGACCCAATCCCCAAACCCGTGGAGCCCTAGAACCTTACCGCCAGAAACACAGCATTACCCAAAGCTAGCGTTATTTTACTGTGGACCTTCTGTAAGACGGATGTTACTTCCCCAGACAAGCCAGAAATCCCGCTATGCCTACCTCTCACAATATCCAAACCACGAAAGTTTAAAACAATATAATGTAGTTAACTGTGCTTGTCTCCACTGCATTGTCATGGCTGTTTTATCTTTTCTCCTTGCAAAATCTTTCAATGTTTATTCATCATCATCAGCCTATTAATGTCCCCACTGCTGGGGCACAGGCCTTCCCTATGGATGGAATAGGGAGATTGGGCCATGACCCACCACGCGGGCCCAGTGCGGATTGGTGGGTGCTAACGACTGTAGATGCAGCCGGGACCAACGGCTTAACATGCCTTCCGAAGCACTGCTAAGCTAATATACTCATTCAAAAAAGGTGATGGCTGAAAATCGATGTTTTGCCTTAAAACTGGCAAATATTTAGCCGAGCCTTGGCCTTTTGTTTTCTGCAGCATCTTAGATTTCTTGTATCTTATCATTTTTTTTTTAATTGTATTACTCTGAAATGTATATGTATATTGAGGAAAAAAATAAACGCATTATCTGTCTATCTATCTAACGCACATGTCCAACTGCATCGCTATTTTGCGCAGCTCTCGTCCAGTAGCCAGGGCGGACCACTTCATCAGCTTCCTGCCCAGGTATGCCAGGTGGAGCCGGTTCCTCATCAGCTGCAAGGAGACCAGGGAAGGCATGCAGGCGTAACGCACTGCCGTCATACCGCTGTCCTCCTCCTCTGCAAAGACATAAGGTATTTTTGAAGTGGCAATTTATTTCGGACGAAGTGTTAATGGACAAATCCTATGGAAAAGATGAAACGGAAATTCGTCACCAGCGTCACACGACTTCAAATGCAATATCTTCCCTATGCATGGAATATGGAGATTGGGCCATGACCCACCACGCGGGCCCAGTGCAGATTGGTGGGTGCTAACGACTGCTGACGCAGCCGGGACCAACGGCTTAAAATGCCTTCGGAAGCACGGAGGAGCTCAAGATAGTAAAATTTCTTGGTCACCCATCCAATGGCCGACCACTGCGAAGGTTGTTTAACTTCAACGGTCGCCGCTGAACGAGCTAGCCTTCACTATGCATGGAATATGGAGATTGGACCATGACCCACCACGCGGGCCCAGTGCGGATTGGTGAGTGCTAACGACTGCAGACGCAGCCGGGACCAATGGCTTAACATGCCTTCGGAAGCATGGAGGAGTTCGAGATAGTAAAACTTTTGGTCACTCATCCAATGGCCAACCACTGCGAAAGTTGCTTAACTTCAACGGTCGCCGCTGAACGAGCTAGCCTTCACTATGCATGGAATATGGAGATTGGGCCATGACCCACCACGCGGGCCCAGTGCGGATTGGTGAGTGCTAACGACTGCAGACGCAGCCGGGACCAACTGCTTAAAATACCTTCGGAAGCACGGAAGAGCTCGAGATAGTAAAATTTTTGGTCACCCATCCAATGGCCGACCACTACGAAAGTTGCTTAACTTCAGCGATCGCCGATGAATGAGCTAACCTTCCCTATGCATGGAATATGGAGATTGGGCCAAGACCCACCACGCGGGCCCAGTGCGGATTGGTGAGTGCTAACGACTGCAGACGCAGCCGGGACCAATGGCTTAACATGCCTTCGGAAGCATGGAGGAGTTCGAGATAGTAAAACTTTTGGTCACCCATCCAATGGCCAACCACTGCGAAAGTTGCTTAACTTCAACGATCGCCGCTGAACGAGCTAACCTTCCCTATGCATGGAATATGGAGATTTGGCCATGACCCACCACGAGGGCCCAGTGCGGATTGGTGACTGCTAACGACTGCAGACGCAGCCGGGACCAACTGCTTAAAATGCCTTCGGAAGCACGAAGGAGCTCTAGATAGTAAAGTTTTTGGTCACCCATCCAATGGCCGACCACTGCGAAAGTTGCTTAACTTCAGCGATCGCCGATGAATGAGCTAACCTTCCCTATGCATGGAATATGGAGATTGGTCCATGACCCACCACGCGGGCCCAGTGCGTATTGGTGGGTGCTAACAACTGCAGACGCAGCCGGGACCAACGGCTTAACATGCCTTCGGAAGCATGGAGGAGCTCGAGATAGTAAAACTTTTGGTCACCCATCCAACGGCCGACCACTGCGAAAGTTGCTTAACTTCAACGATCGCCGCTGAGCGAGCTAACCACTTACGCCATCGAGCTCCTCCTAGATATTGCTCTCATTGAATCGCATCATGAGAAAGTCCCTAAATTTGAAACCTTACGACTCTGTAAATGATAAAACAGGGAGAAAAAACAGCCCTTGCTGAGTTTCTTGCCGGTTCTTCTCAGTACAAGGTCTCCCGCCGTAGATTTACGAACCGATGGCGTAGCTTCTTGACCTTCACAAGTGCTTGTAACAGCCTAAACTGAATAATTGATTATGATTATGATTATGATTATGATTATTATGATTAGAAGCGGTAAAACTGTACTTCCAGGGCCCAAAAGGTGATACTTGTTTTTTTTTGTAGAAAAGGTCTTTTTAACAGATTTTTCGCCGGCCTCTGCCGCGGCACGCTCGCTTTGCTCGCTCGGCTCGCGCGTTATGGTCACAACACTAACCTAACCTAACCTAGTGTGAAGTATCACCACTTGATAAGAAAAGTAAAAAATTTCAATATTTTTTTCTAAAAAACTACCAGTGCATAAGTGTGACATTTTTTTTAATAATGTGGTTAACAGAAACCTTTTTAACAACAAAAATGCGAAATTACAACCAACAAAACTGTGAAGTTTTTACTTTTGGGCCCTGGAAGTACAGTATATCCTTAGAAGCCGTACCTTCTTCAAACATTTTCACTGCTAAAGACTGCTATTGGTCAGAATTTAATATCCCCGTTCAATTATTGGTTAGTTAATCTTGTTTTATCATCATGTTTTTGCTTGTCACGGTTCACACTGGTTTATTTCCTCATTTTTCACTGTTTATTTGAATGTTTTTTTATTATGTTTATGATTATTTTTGTTATGTCCGTCGTGCTACATTTTTATCTTTTTTGATTGACGTTTTTGCATTTTTCTTGCTTTCTGTGACTGACAGCTTTTTCTACCTTCTCTGCTTTTGAGAATGCTCTCCTTAGAGATGTCTATGTTGTCTTTATATGTATCTGCCTCATCTTTATATATATAATTCTTCTGTGAGTGTGTATGTCACTGAACTTCTCTTAAACGACTGGACCGATTTTGATGAAATTTTTTGTGTGTGTTCAAGGGCATCTGAGAATGGTTTAGATTCACAATTTTGTCCGCTGGACAACCCCTATTTTTTTAGGGCGGTACGAAGTTCGCTGGGTCAGCTAGTTTTGTATATAAAATGCAAAAGTAAATGTTATAAAATAAAGCGAGCGAGCCTTAAAGTAGTCTCGTATGATGTGTAACATATGAAACCTCACCTTATATTAGTAAAAAAAGAAATAAAACCTACTACAAAAGGAATAAGCCATTTGAACATTATGCTCAAAAATCAAATCTATTAGCGCGCGCTTTCGCGACTTCATGTTACACACTTCCGTCCCATTTCACGAAATCACTCCCACAAATAGCAGGAAAGATTTGACTCATAAAAAAGAGAGAGGAAAGATTTGACTCATAAAAAATATAGTGTGCACGGACCACAAATTTGATGTGTAACTTCTTTTCTTAAATTACCAAACATTAGGCGGTGCTTAGGCCATAGGAGAACGGAGCAGCGCACGCAACACTCATATGTGTGTATATAACCTACTTGAAGAAATAAAACTTAAGATACCATTGAAAAGTGTTCGCAGGCCTAATGATCTGTCGTTGTTCCCAGATCAAGTACTAAATATACTTTAAATGCCTTTTTCCAACGTTGTTTGACTGCATATAAACAAGTTGCTCACATAGATATCTTTTGTCCAAACCTTATGAAAGAGTCTCACATTATTGAACATTTTTTTATCAAAATTATAAAACATATTTTTTTTTTACTGTACGGGGGTTTATCAGCACAAGGGCACGGTAATATTATCTATTATTACCGTGACAAGGGTTAAAAACCCTAACGAATCAACCGTGTATCTTATCTGAAAGCAACATAAAGCTCATTTAACAGTTTCGGATGATCAACCTGTATGGTATGTAGTTTTCTGTACATTGTTACTGCTTTTTGTTTTTCTTTCTGATTTTGGTATTTTATTTGTTACTTGATTCAAGTTTTTTGTTTTATTTTTAAATACTGCATAAAATTTGCCTTTGAAATATTGTAATAACTGATATACAGAACCTGATAAAGATGATATAGCACACTGTATTGCTTCTAACCTGACTTCCGTGAAATTTCGTAACAATGTAATTGTAGGCACTCAAGGTCTAAAACCTATGTATTACTTTAAGATAATGTAAACATTGATGTACATGACTGTATGTTGCCAAAATAAATAAATAAATATACATATATTATCGCGTGTGTCGCTCGCAGCGTTTCAGCCGAGTTACCCTCCAATTTTCATACTCGTCGGGAAGAGCAGTGCATGCATCCCACACACACACATACATATATATAGTCGTGCGACGCTCGTTCCGTTGCATCTTTTCCATAGGATTTTTCAATTTACGGGGTATGACTCCAAAAAGAAGTTTCTGTTCAAAAAAAAATGGTTGCCTGTAAAGTCGGTTTTACGGGCGAAGATTTTACGTGACAACGTCTTTTTCTCGGTAGGATATTTATTGATATGAATATAATTAAATTGCACAATAGGAACAAGGAATTGAATGAAAATAAGAATTGCACAAATTTTAACTATAGAAATATATTTTGTTTACTAAAACATTGTACATGTAAACTTAAACTTAACACGAGAGACTCATCGTAACGTTACCGAGCGTTACACTTTTTCATAAGTGACTCCCAGCCGCAACCTAATTTAAGACGTTGTCACGTCAAAACTACAAAAGACAAGTGCTTACATGGGATTTTTTCTTTTCTTTGAATTTATTAAAGTCAAACTTCTTTACGCAAAGTTCACTTGGGGAGTAAGCTGACGAACGCGTTACGTTAAGTGTGATCGGGCGAGGCGAACAGGAGTTGAGTGGGGAATATAAGCAAGAGAAAGCAGTGCGCGCGCACATTTTCTTCCTCTATTTCTCTTAAAACTAGTTAATGAAATATGTATATGTACATACATATATATATTGTACACACACATATATATATGTATATACATACAGATGGAGCTAAAGAAGTTTCACTTCAGTTGTGTGGTCTTTCGTTTTTTTCATTAAGTTCTAAATTCTAGCTCCGAGAAGATTGCAGACATGCTAGACAGACTGAAGGGGTGTGAGAGCGAAAGGTGTTTCTCATCTAATTACCGTCTAATTATTGACTTAATTATCTTTAGCTCCCTGTAGCAATTTGCGAGGTAAGTGGCTGGGGTTACTTAGTTTTATCACTTAACTAACTTTAGATGGATAAGACACTTTAGAGACTAATAGCTCTCTCTACTTAAAGATTAAGATAGGAGGGGCATATCGAATTTAATTCTCGAATTGAAACGCCCCTTCGCTATCCGGGGAATGCACTGACCAACTATGCTACCGCGACCCTGACGGCCGTGTCGAATTCTTTCTAACCCTAGCCATTCTTAAACTGCAAGGCAGCGCCATCTCTTCGCATTGTAGGTGGATTTCTTCAGTAATATTTTGTTAAGATTTAAACATCAAGCAGTTACATGCTTAAAGAAAGAAAATTATAATTATCTGTATATTTTTTTTACTATTTTCTCTTTATATAAGTACGAGTAGTACTTATTTTTTTTCATAATGGTCATACGCCAGAAATTAAGATATCTCATTTACCTCATTAATACAATCCATTCAAACTAGTTCCCATAAGGTTGAATTGATAACATGATACGGGCGTGAAATTTCTTCGCGCTCCGTCTCTTTTTATTTCATTTAGGGTTCCGTACATACTAATAAATATTTCCAACACTCACACCAATGAGGGCTATCGCGTATGAATCCTCCGCTAGAGGCGCTTGTGTAGCGTGAGGTCTCCGAAATGTCAAATGTTATTGCTTGTTGGTTGACTACGCGGGTTTATTTCTTATTAAAATAATGTTGTGAATAATTGGTAACAATTCGGCTTAATTATGGCAAATATGAGTTATGTGGCAATGAATGTCAGTTATTAAAAATTTGAGCTTAGAAAAATGATTATGTTCCCATTTTTTCCGAATAAAACGGAACTGGGCGTCACTGTGGCATGGCCTATTATGTTTAGGATATGGTCCTTTTGTGTTAAAATACGATCTAAATGTAACCTTTGATTTCATGTGCGTATTAATAAACTTTAAAAGTTACAATTTAGGACCTCACTCAACAGTGGCGCCATTTGGTGAGACAGAAAATGGTAGCCCTCATTAGTCTAGCCCCAAAGTAAGCACTGTAAGGCTTGTGTTATGGAATACTAGGGTAACAGATAGAATACATATACTGTACATATATAATTTTATTTATATAGAAATACATATTAAACATCTATGTCTGAAGAAAGGACATATAGAAAGGAATTATAAATACTTATCTCTTTTTTATAGAATCACTATACATTATAAACGTATGAATGTTTTCAAAAATTTGTCAAATAGCCTATTCCTTCGTCTTTTCTACATTTAAATAGCCAGTTTTACTTTATAATTGGACAGGAAATACTCATTTAATTTTCTGTGTCTATGATTCATAAACAATAATAAAAAAACTACATAAAATAAAAATCACACTAATATTATAAACGCGAAAGTTTTCGAGTGTATGAGTGTGTATGTTTGTTACTACTTCACGTCTAAACGGCTGGAGAGATTTTAATAAAATTTGGTACGGAGTTAGCCGTCACCCTGGATTAACACATAGGCTACGCTCTACTGCGGGAAAATATCCCTAATAAACCACGGGTGAAACCGCGGGGCACAGCTAGTATCAAAAAAATCATCCACAGGAGAAATCACATTTAAATTTAAAAATTTAAGATGATATTAAAAGAACATTTTACTTTGTAACATAATTATTAGTATTAAGCGCCATCTATCGAAACTCATGAGTACTAGTGCATAAAAATAAGTTGACGGCTCAATATACTCAATAGACGGACGGACGGATCAGTTTCTCCGATTTTGTTAGTCGGTGAATAACATTAACAACTTAAAAAAAAAATTTACAACTTGTTCGCTAGTACGGAACCAATTATTACGTCTCCAATGCACACACTTTTCGTTTTTTTTTATATATATATAAATGAGTAGTTTTTTAAAAGCGCTTTGGTACGTCTTGTTCAAAAGCCCGAGGTGTGAATGCAAACGCTCACTACATTATGAAACCCACAATAGCCCTTTATACATTTGACAAGTAATATTCAAAAGGCTATTATGTTTGGATCCCTGTTTAACTATAACTTGATCCCTTATGCTTCCCCTTTTCGAAATAATTCGTAGGGGTGCGGGAGGCCAACTTAATTTGGTTGTGTAATCCAATATTTTGTGCGAGTCAGTACATCCAAGAAGGTTAACATTGCGGGCAAATTTCGCTATTGGGATTTTTTTAAATGTATCAGGAGTTAAAGGACATTGGGCAAAAATGTATGGACGCTGCACCCACGTCCGCCACGGCTTAAACTACATTTGTTTGAAAGGTATTATAGTCATGATCATCTGTGCCAAAACGCATCAAATTCCATTCCATTCCGTTACAAGTACTATAACAAACGAACATTAATGAAACAATGGAATTAATTTAGTTAGTTAGTTCGACTGTACATAGGGGGCTTAGGTATTATGGGAGTACTTCACAAGGTGCAAGGGTGCCCCCTTATGTTATTCTGCCGCGCTAAAGTAAATCCTAATATCCCTGCATGGGTTGGGGCTTTTTCAAACAGTCTGTTCGTTATCGTAAATTGTCTTCTATGTAAAACGGAGCGACCACAAATCACACAAACTTGTCCACGCTTCCGAGAAAACATGATTCCAGTTCAACCAGACTAATCAATATATATATATATATATATATATAGATAA